CCTGAGCAAGAGCGAGACTCTGTCTCTACCAAAAATAGAAAAAAATTAGCCAAGCATTGTGGCACATGCCTGTAGTCCTAGCTACTCAGGAGGCTGAGGCAGGAGGATCTCTTGAGCTCAGGAGTTTGAGGTTGCAGTGAGCTATGAGGACACCGCTGCATTCTAGCCTGGGCGACAGAGTGAGACTGTGTCTCAAAAAAAAAAAAAAAAAATCTGCTTCTTGAATATTGATTAATGAAATGGTGCTTTTTTTTTTTCCTCAGGTATTTTAACAGCAGTGATAACAATTTACAGTATTGGGGATTGGATTACCCACCTCTAACAGCTTATCATAGTCTCTTATGTGCATATGTGTAAGTTTTTCTTCCTTAATGTCAGTCTAAATACTATGCCCTTAGCAGACAGAGTAAGAACCAATGTGATTGGGCTCTCTTGAATAGAGAAGAGATCACTTGTAGCTGCTATTATAATTATGTATTATAAATGGGTTGTGACAAAGGTAACTATCAGAGTTTGAACATTTCTATAATTTCTTTGAAGGACAACCTAGAAAGAAATACAAAAACCTAGCTTTGTTTTGAAGTAGAGATGTTGCCAATTATGCATGGACTACTGAGAAATATATCTAATATGGGTTAGTTGTGTGTAGGAAAGCCTTTTTCTGGAATGGCCCAAAGTAATTAAAAAATACAGGTCCAAATGATATTCTGATTGATCTGTCAAGTTAGAAACTAGAATTATTGTATTAATAGTGTTTCACTTATGATTAAAGTTCAGGATTGGAATTCCTCCTCCTTTTAAAGAAATTGAATAGTTTATAGAAGAGAAACTTCTATTTTAGTAGAGACCCCGTTCTACCCTGTAATGGTATTTCATCTCAGACTTGAAGAAGTGTGTTAGCAAAAATTTGAGGAACTTCTTCGTAGTATTGCCTAAACTCATCTTCCTTGTTTAATTATTTCAACTTTCACTACAGCCATGTATCACTTAACGATGGGGATGCATTCTGAGAAATGTGTTGTTAGGTGGTTTTGTCGTCATGTGAACATCGTAGAGTGTACTTACACAAACCTAGATGTATATGGCCTGCTACACACCTAGGCTATATGGTATAGCCTATTGCTCCTAGGCTACAAACCTGTACAACATATTACTGTACTGAATACCGTAGGCAATTGTAACACAATGGTAAATATTTGTGTATTTAAACATATTTAAACATAGAAGAGGTACGGTCAAAATACAGTATTATAATCTTATGGGAGTATAGTCATGTGGTCAATTGTTGGCTGAAACATTATTATGCAGCATATGAATATATTTCATAGTTTGTAAAAATAAGCTTCATGGATTGAAATAAGCTCCCAAACATCATGATAATCACTTATACTTTATAGTGTTCAGGATAATATAATACAATTGAAAATTTAATTTATCTTTAACAATTATGTTTAGTTTTATGCAGCGATTTATGATTAATAGCTACTTATTGTAGCCAGTTGTTATCATAGCTGAAAAATTATAAGTTGTAAAACATGATCTTCCGCTCAATACTAGCATATTGTTCTTTATAAAGTATGTGTTTAATAAATGAAATGTGAGACACCAGATTGTTTTTTACACTGGTAGAACTGTGAAGGTAGGGTTTGTAGTTACACATTACATGGTTTGTTGGAAGATGAGCAAGGCAGATGCTGTTTTATAGCTTAAGTCAGTTCCACATGATTAAATAAAAAGAATAAAGCTTAAGCATTGACTCTGTCACTTTATATATAAGAGCAATGGCCAATTCTCAAAATAAATTCATATGTCCTCAAATGTCCTTATTGCTAAAAGTAATGAGAAATAAAGTACATGTATATATGCTTTGATTCGCAGGGCAAAGTTTATAAACCCAGACTGGATTGCTCTCCATACCTCACGTGGATATGAGAGTCAGGCACACAAACTCTTCATGCGTACAACAGGTAAAAGGACAATAGGTATTGGGGGTAAAATTTGATTTTAAAAAATTTTGGATAAACTGATAAAAGTTACTATTTATC